ACAGTGGTCTTCAGTTTTACTTAGGCACATAAAAATTGGCTCAAAATTGGGAGAAAGGGTGTAAAGTGAGAACCAGATATGCAGGTATTTAAATTTCTCATCTGCAAGAAAATAGCTGGTCTGTTTTTCTTTCAGGGTGGCTCAGGTTCTTCCCACAGTTCTTACTCCGGTAACCAGGTAAATATTCTGGTCCCTCTGCTTATACATGAGCAGTCTAAAGAATACTTTGAGAGAACATTCAACTACAAACCAGCAAATTTCTTTTTTTTTTTTTTTGCCTGCAGGGAGGGCCTGCCTACTATCCTGGTGGATCTTATGGACAGGTAGGTGTTCTTTCTTATTTGTAGCGATATCAGACTTCTTTTGTTTTCATTGCTATTCTGTCTTTGAAAGATGGAAAACACTTTCTTGGGAGAACCACATTAAACAGCTTTTTTTTTTTTTTTCTGTACAGGGAGGGTCTTCTTCTTATGATGGCAGCAGTGAATCCTATGGTCAGGTAAATACTCTTAGTTTCTCTTTGTATAAAGGTTGCTGTGGGCCAGTACCCTAGGTCAAATAAATATACAGCTGTATCTGTATTTTGGTTCTCACTATATTCTAATGGAAGCACTCTTTTCTTTGAGGAGTGAGTAAATTTGTATATACTTTAAACTAAGTAGCCTGAAGGTTTATAGGGGAGTAAAAGGTGGGGTGCCTCTAACCTTTAAGGCTTATTCTTCTCAATAATGCTAGCTTTGATTTACCTGCAAGATGGTCTCTTGAAAAGTGGAAGTAGAATTTAAGTTTAAAAGTATGTTAGATTAGTGTTTCACAGGGACACAWCTCTGATTTGCTTAACCATTCTGAGAACTAAGTAAATAATCCTATTTTCTAAATCTTCTCAGAAAGAGATCCCTACAGTAAGCATTAARAAGAATTAAGAAAATATTTTAAAAGTCTGTTTGCAATATGAAAATTATTTATGTTTCTTAACAGGGTGGATCTTCTGCATACAGTGGTTCTGACACTTATGGCCAGGTAAAYGTTATTTGTCTCCTACATCAAAAGCTTAAGCTTGCTGTGTTGCCTCTTAGGTGCACTGGGTTCTATGTTTCAGTTATTTTTAAGTGAYGGTGGCCATGGAAATGCCATTTTGACTTTTGTTTCTCTTTACTTTTATAACAACTCAAAATGTTTCCGTAATGTAGGGAATGCTGTTTTTAATTGTGCCCTATGACTATTCAATATCTGAAATAATTGATTGTTTATGCATTAGCTCATTCAAAAGGAAAATATTTTCTGCGTGAGTAAGATGTATAAAGTAAATGCACAAGTTGTTGAAAGTTTAAATAATGGGATTTTTGAATATAAAAAATGGTAATTTTGCAAATTAACTTCACCAAAAATTTTTCCTTATAAAAATGCATGTTTTCAAGGAGGGATTTTTTCCCAGTCTCTTCTGCTTAAGGTAAAGTTACATAGTTTTTATTTCTTGCACATTCCCTAGTTTAGGTAAAATTGGGGATTCTATGCAGTTAGTTAGTTCTGTTCTTCTATTTTATATTCTCCACAATTAAGAACATGTAACAGTCCTTTTTATATGAAAATAAAAGTTTTTTCATTATTTTATAGGATTCACTTCCCATGGGAGGCAGTGAAACCGAAGATAGTGTAAGTCTTTCTTCTCAACAATATCAATATGATAATTCACTACCTTTGAAAGTCTCTAGGTGCTTACATGGACCTTGCTTGTCTCATGTCATGTRATTGTGGTACATGTGATAAGTACTTCACAAATTAAAATAGCAGTTACAAGTTCTGACTTGTAACAATCAAACAATTTGAATTGGTTATTAGAAGCAGCAATTACAAATAAAATTTTTATTTCACAATTTCTATCAAAACTTAGTATTATTATGACTACTTCCCTCTTTCCATCCCCAATTTGCACTTCTCCATCTATATATTGCATAGGAGTGGTCTGTTTTCATAYAGTATGGTGATAACTGCCTGCTTTTCTGTTTAAGATGCCTTTTCTTCTGACTCAAGTCTATTTGCTGTTAATTCTGCTGAAGCTGTATATAAAGCTTAAAAATTTTAAAGTGTTTTCCAGGGTCCTAGTTAATAGGAAATCACTCCCCATAAATAATTATAAATTCAGTTGTGCATTTTAATCACAAGTATACTGTGTCAGGAGCTTCAATGCAGTTTCTGCATCCGAATCTTCTTATGGATATTAGAAAGTTAAAATACAGTACTACAGAGGGCCAAAAAAGCCCTCTGAAAGAAACTAAGATACAACAACAGATGTGTACCACATCTTGGTCTTAAAAAAATCAAGACAGCTTTATAAATGCTGATGTTTTCCCCTGAAACATTTTGGAGGAAATAAAACAGATTGAGATGAGATCTCATTCCTTTATTTCACTATATCAGGATTCAGCGTTCAACATAAAGAAATACCATTCTCCAGAAACAGACTGCTTATCCTACACCCTATATCTTCARCCTTCCCAACAAATAGTACTTTCCTTTGCTTTCCAACCTTGTTTAGAAAAAAAAACCTAGTAACATTTGCCATTGCAATAACTAGATTCTAATATTTTTCAGGATTCCTCCTCACCATCTGGTAGCCGCCAGAGTGAACGGGTAAGCCCTCCTTCCTTTTGTATTGCCAGGGTGCCAGTCCCAGTGTTTGGCAACTGCTAGTACCTAAATTACATCTTCTGTGGAAATTCTGAGGCAGCTTCCAGTGGGGGATAGAAAGTCCTCAAATGCAGAGGGAATGAGGATATGGCTAAAGAGTTAAAGTTCTGCCAAAAATCCCAACTGGTGTTGAGGTGTGCTCTTGAATCTCAAACTCATGTCACAAATGTGGTAGCACAATTTACATGTTCAGATTCTTATGCTTTTTTAATCATTGTATGACTGCAAAGGGCTTCCATACCATGATTTGTCCAGCACTTATYCAATGAGCAACCCTTTGCTTTGTTGTGCTGTATGACTTACTTATGAAGACTCCCATTTTCCTATCATTTTTACATGGCACACATATTTATTCTAATGACAATTAAGTTGTCATTACTGTTGTTATTCTTACTAATTATTTTTTTGGAGATAGAACTCTGTTAATTGTTGAATCCTAGAGAGTACCTTTCATMAAAAGAGCAATTATCAATAGTTATGAAAGGGCACATTCTGCTTTATACAGAAAGACAGCAGATTTTTTTTTCTTGAGCAATCCGTAGCAGAAAACTAAAGCATGTGGAGAACCAAGAAGGAGTGTTTAGCRTCCACTCTGATCTTTCCACGTTTTGGGTTTTGGTTTTTTCATGTAATTTCAATACATTTTTCCAGGATTTTTATTCCCCAGGAGGCAGCCAGTCAGGTGGACATGTAAGCATCTATTTTATTCATTATTTGCAGTTATCTTCCAAAATGGCTGTATTGTTTAAAAATTATCCYAGTAAGTAAATTACATCCAACAGTTTATTGCATAGAATTTCTCGTGACATCTGGCATCATGTCTTGTAAAATCAAATTGCAAACTGTTTGAATAAAATCAAAAATTTTGTGTGTACAACAGTCTTGTTCTCCAGAAGCCATTTTAAACAAAAATTAATTGGGTCTGCTTCTTGCAGGGGTCATCCTCTCAAAGTGGTAGCTACTCCGGTGGACAGGTAAATATTAAATCCTTGTACTTTTGACCTGAAGTATCTGCCATAAAGAAGGTTGAGGCTTCATACTGTGTTACAGCAGTTTTTAATCTGTGAACAAGATTGATTCATTCTTCCTATGTAGAAGTCCAAATCCAAGCAGAGTAGTCAAAATACAATTAATGTATTAACTGATGTTTTAATACCAGAAAAAAATGAAAGTAATACATACTTGGCATTAATTTATGTATTTTAAATATGAAGTAAGTAATTTTTATTTTTTTCAGGACTCATCCTCATCTGGAGGCAGCCAGTWTGGTGGGCAGGTAGGAAAATTTTCTTCATTGAATTTTCTTCATTGTTGCTATTGTGAGGGGTTTTTTGCCTCCAATGTACATATTTCAAAAAAATATTACCAGGTTGGTAATACCTAAGTTTTCAGAGTATTCTGTGGTTTATTTTATCCTCATAAACCTTTCTATAAATAAAATTGGGTTCTCAACCAGAAGATCTTTTCAAACATAATTAAAAGAGTAAAAGACAATACATTGTAATCAAATGCATGTGTCAATGAAAATTTTTTTAAATGAGAATATCATATTACAGGGTTCACCTTCTTCAGGAGTCAGCCAGTCTGGTGGACAGGTATGATTTTCTTACTCCACAGTCTTCAGCTGGGCTGGTGTCAGGCACTCAAATTTACTTATCTTTCCTTTACTAGAACTGTTTTCCTTCACCACTGTCCTTTTTGCCCAAAGCCTCAGCAACACATTATTTTCTTTTGCCATGTCATTTGGACATCCTGTAAGCCAGAGTAGTTAATAGTAATTGGATGGCACTTGTTTGTGAGCTTTTGTACCTGCTTTGGTGCTAAACACTTTTCTTTTACTAATCTCATGCAGAATCAAAGTGAAAAGCAAGACACCAAATGRTGAACTCCTGGCTGCATCTCAGTTAGTTTTATCAGAGTAGAAATCACTTGTTTTCTGTATCATCTGTAACATGAAACAGTGCTGCTTGTACTCCAGGTGCTCTGGCCTGTTTAGGAAAAAAAAATGCTTTCTGTAGTACTACTCAGAATTTTTTCTCACCGTTTTGATGAGCAATGTTTCTTAAGGTAAAAATTAGGTAGGAAAACTGGAAGGTAAAACCAGCATTTTGTTGGCCCATCAGAGCAAAAAGTGCAGTAATCATTGCATTGGATGAAACATGCTCATTTCTAGAAGTCGGGCAGTTAAGGATGTAGCTTAATGGTTTGCATGCCTGGGATGGTAGAAGTAATTTGAGTTGTAACTAGAATCCATTTCAGTCCTGTGCTCTTGATATCTTAAATACTTTCTGCATTCTTTACAGGGTGGATGTGATTGTTCTGGGGCAAGTTCTGTAAGTCTGACTTTTACATTATGCATTTTCTTTTACTAAACTATTTAAGTGGAAAACCATGTGAGATGCTATTTATTTCCAACTTACTTATTTAATTACACTCTTAACTTTATATTCATTGTTCCTTTGGTGACTTACATGTTTCTGATATGGTAGGCATTATTTCTCATWATGCCAAGATCATAAATTCAGTGTCACAGAATCATCAAATTATTTAGGTTGGAAAATGCCTCAAGTCCACCATTAACCCAGTACTGCCAAGGTCACCACCATGTCCCTAAGTGCCACATGGGCATGTCTTTTAAATACTTCCAGAGGTGGTGACTGAGCGCCTTCCCAGTGACCTGTTCAGTGCTTGATAATCCTTTCAGTGAAGAATTGTTTCCTAAAATCCAATCTAAGCCTGCCCTGGAAAAATCWGAGGCCATTTCCTCTTGTTCTATTGCTTGTTACTTGAAAGAAGGGACCAATATGATACTTCATGATTTATGGTCTTCTGGGCAAAAAAAGGGCTATTTTCTCTTTTGGCAMATGGATAAAAGTAAGTGAAGTGTAAGTGTAATTAATTTCAGGCTTGATATACTTCCTCTGAAATGCCATAGAACAGACAGTCTAAGGTTTAARTCATTTCTAGTTTATGATCAAAAACAAAGGCTAATTTTTCTTTTCYTKTTTTCCTTTATAGGGTGGATCTCCCACTTTAGTCAGAAGTGATTCCTCTGCAAATGTAAGCAATGTTCATCAGCTTTTAAGTGCGTCCTCTGTTYGCTCTATCAGTGTAATCGCTAGAGATGATAAAAAGAGTCAGTCCCCAGGAGAAGTCATACACCTGTGAAAATAACCTACTTGAGTCAAATTAAAAATACACACAGGGCATTCTTTTCAACTCTAACTGAAAAATACACACAGGACATTTATGCAGCACTCCCAGTTTCTGTTTCCATTTGAAATAGTTTTCATTCAAAGAAAAGTCTTACAATGGAAATGCTTTCACATAACTGATAGACACCAGTATAAATATTTACCTTGGGAATCAATTCCATTGGTTTCCTTGGAATTATGCACAAATATCCCCCAAGGACTTGGATTCATATCATTGTATTCCTCTTATATCATTAACTGCAAGAAAGGTTAGTATTCCTAAATCAATAATTTAATGTTGCTAGCCGTCTCACATAGATAAGAACATTCTTGCAAAAGAGATCTCTTTACAGCATTCTCAAGACCAGTTCTTCTTGTGTTGGAAAGTCATTACTGTAGGTACAGGAGCTCTGTATGTGCTGCACTAAAGGGAGAAAAGCACTGGAGTCTTTTCTGTATGTGGTACAGAACTCGTGGCACTCTTACCAGTACTATTTTCTTTCTGAAATGGYTCTAGAGGCAGCTATTTTGGTGTATGGGTACACAATAAATTTTAGTGTATAAACAAAGTAGGGAAGGCTAGATTTTACATTTTGAGTGGATTGTAAACCCAAGCAAAAAAGTTTWAATTGTGAACTTATGTACTGCTATCTTTCAAAAAGTTTTGCTTCAAAATACTTCTTTTAGAGCAAAATAACTGGTGGGTTTTGTGTTTGTTTTTTCCCCAGGACTCATCTTCTTCTGGAGGCAGCCAGTACAATAGCCAAGTAAGCACTCATTCCAAAAGGAGAGCCATTTTGCTACTTCTGAAAATGATGGTTGATTCATTCAYTCAATTAAATTCAGTTTTTATATGGGAATTGGGTAAAAGGAGGAAAAACTCAGTAAATTAAATTCATCATTGAGTTATTTATGTCCTAAAAATTATAACAATGGGTTTTTAATAAATACTGCCCTTGTTTTGTGAAACTTGCAAACTGAAGCTCACAAAAAAAAAAGGGGAAAGAATTTATCAAATTGCTTAATTTTTTATTCCTATTGGACTCAATTCCATTGTGAAAAAAAAAAAATCCAATCTCCCCCCTTTAAAGAGACCTCTTGTTGCAAGAGGTTTCARTAAATTTACTTAGTTTGGTTTTCAGAGTCCTGTTAGGTAACCAATATTTTACTGTTAGCTTTGGCCCAGCATGCAGCTTTCCAAATAAAAAAAGTGCCATCCTCCAGAAATGAGCAAAGAAAGAACTGGTAAGAATGTCACTATAACCTTCCCAACACTCATCTGGTATTYTTTACAGGATTCCTATTCCTCTGGAGCTAGCCAGTATGGAGGACATGTAAGCTCTTCTTTTTAGTATTTCATATTATGTATTTGTTTTATGAATATTTTACTMATGCTAAGGATCTCAATTTAATATATCAAGAAAATTGACAGTGGTCTATACCCTGTAGTAATATTGTRAATTCAAGGAAGAAAAAACCCAGAGATTTTTTTGGGATAATTATACACAAACACTCAAGTTAACAAAATTTGATGTCTTTGCCACATCTTTCCCTGAATTAGATAATCAGAAATAACTAATTACCATTTTTTTCCAGGGGTCATCTTATGGAGGCAGTCAGTATGGTGGACAAGTAAGTATTAATAGTCCCCATTTTTGTAGTTTATTTATTGTCTACCTGACTGTCTATCTTAGCTTTAATTTAATCTAAAATCTTTTCCATAAATCTTTCCATGTAGTGTTCTGGTGCTACTGTGATTAAACAAAACAAATTCAAATGAAGATCACTATCTAAGAATAAGAAACAATAGAATGTGAAGTATGTAGTTGACTGAAATTTGCAGGACTAGAGGTCATGTCTCTCTGAAAGAAATCAGTACTAATGAAACTAAGCAAAATTTTTAAATCCTCATGAAATTATTCWATGGATCTATAAAATAGGTGTAAAAAAGTTTCAGTTTCCATTTTTTGGTTTTTTTCAGGGTTCACCTTCATCAGGAGGCAGCCAATATGGTGGACAGGTAATATTCTTCCTGTGTAGTGCTTGCTACTTTATCAAAGACATTTGGTAGTTCTCTGTGTAAATGAACATTTTAAGGASATTGAGATTTGGTTTGGGTGTTTCTGTCCATTTTTTATCTAATTTGTTGSTAAGTATATAGTGGTTATAAATGTATGTGATACAAAGCCACAGRAGAGTTTTTAAGCTGGAATTTCTGATGCATTATGATAAATGCAGATGAACCTACCCACTTTTGCACAGTCTGGTTCAGTCCACTCAATTCTGCAGTGAAAAAAACTGGGTACTCCTTCATATGGAGCATGGTTTAAAGGAGTACTGTGACATGGATATAGAGATCATTTAATTCTTTCTTGTYCAGGGTTCACCTTCTTCTGGAGGCAGCCAGTATGGAGGACAGGTGAGAATCTCTTCYTATGTTTAAACTCTGTTTATCTGATCTAAAGATTATGATCTGCAGCAATACAAAAACTATGGAGATCTGCTGCTTCTGTTGCATTAAATGCAGTTCTGGCYTTGTTCTACCCTCCAACCTGCCCTGCTATGGTCAAGGTTTCTCAGGTCTAACTGTAAGGAGTGGCTGAAAGCAGATTCCTCCCTCCTCTATTGCATTTTCTTCAGCAAAATGCAGTATCAAAATTGGTGTCTGAGAAGCCCTATGTCTCAAAATAGGAAGAGGGGAGAAGGTGAGGAGTTGCTAAGGGTTTTTCCATGTCCTTGTGAAATGAAAGATGATGGATGATGGCTTTCTAGAGTTACCTAGAGGGATAGCCTCTGACATGGAGTGATGCATAAAGCAAKAGGCTGAGTATTTACCTTCCTGTAATTTTTCATTATGAGACAGAGGAAKAAAATAATCTTTCTGTAAAAAGCTCTTAAAGAAGCTTTTTGATTTGAGAAATAATTGGCACCTTTGCTTCAGGGTCCATCTTTCCCAGGTGGCAGTCATTATGGAGGACAGGTGAGAATTGTTTTTCTATTTATGTTTTTTTTTTTTTTCATTGTTCACCTTTTTTTTTTTGTGAAAATCAGAATATTTTGCAAAGGAGTGTCTTTTTTTTTTTTTTGTGAAAATCAGAATATTTTGCAAAGGAGTGTCTTGCAGCAAAACAGTGTTTAGAGTAGATTAATATAGGACTTCCTGCTCATAAAAGCAAAACATAGAAGGTTGCTGTGAGCACACAGTSCAGGCAGCAGCCCTACTCACACCTGCCTGAAGATGACTGATTCAAATTTCATTGCTCTGTTTAAACAGCAATAATCCACTGTAAAGGCCAGTGGATTTCAGTGCAGTTATAAATTAAATGTTTGTGTCCCTGTGGCATTTAAATCCATGGAAGACAAATAAAAGTGTGTTTTTCTGTGACAGATCAWAAGTTAAAGAATGTGCAACAGTTATAAATGCTTTCTCATTTCTTTAGGGTATGCCTTCTTCAGGAAGCAGCCAGTACAGTGGACAGGTAAAACTTCTATTTTCACAGTATTTGCAGCTTGGGTAGACAGTTCATCAGGAAAACAGACCCTTTTTTTTTTTTTTTTTTTTAAAAAAAAAAAAAAAAAAAAAAAAAGCAGCACTCTAAGAAAGAATAGCTTTAAACCTGACTGAATGAGGATTGCTAAGTATGGGTCTGTCTGGTATTTCTGATCACGATAAGAGGAAATGATACAGAGGCCTGTGACACTGCATGGGAATGCTTCTTTAAAGGATCACCGTTTAAGCCAGTTTTTTGTGTTATGTTTAAATGGAAGCAATTGAAAGATTGAGAACCACAGAGAACAAGTGAGAATGTTACTCAGTAAYACAGAAGTAATGAAGTTACTGATTTTTTCCAGGGCTTTTCTTCAGGAGTCAGACARTCTGGTGGACAGGTATGCTTTTCTTTCTCTGTACTGTTCAGTTTTGCTAGTGTCATATATTCACAAATTGCTTTGTGCAACTTTTCCTCACAAGAATTGTTTCCCTTCACACATGTCATCCAGATTGAATGTAGAAAGTGAGATACTGAATAGTGAACCCCTGGTCACCACTTAGTTTTGTTAGAATAGAAATTACCTAATAGACTTCCACTGGAAGTCATCTTTAGTGTCTTCTGTAACATCTGTAGCATGAAAGAGCACTGTGTGTATTTACAGAATCATAGAGTGTGCTGAGTTGGAAGAGATCCATCAGGATCATAGAGTCCAACTTCTGGCTCTATGCAGAACACCCCAAGAATGACACCAYGTGCCTGAGAGCATGGTCCAAATGCTTCTTGAATTCTGATAGGCTTGGTGCTGTGACCACTYACCTGAGAAAATTCTATGTGCTCTGGTCTCCTCAAGGGAAAAAAAATAAAATCTGTACTTCTATTCAGAATTTTTTACTCATCTGTTTGATGAGTAGGTTTTTACTGTAAATTTTAAATGAGAAATTAGAAGATTCTATTTTAAAAATTGTTCAGTAAGTGCACAGCTAGCTTAAAAAGGAAGTGGAGAGAGAAATGAGAGCTTGATGAGTCTATGAGCAGTGGTTCATAGTCCATTTTCCTGCAGTAGCAGAACATGAGTTTGATTTACTAATTCAGAGGCCTATTCCAATCATAGACCCAGGAAAGTAAGTTTGGTTGTGTTTTGTACAGGGTGGGTGTGTGTGCCCCGGTGGAGGTCCAGTAAGTATTCTTTGCCTTTATATATTTTTCATAGTATGTACGCATGCTGGAAAATCCCCAAGGAACTACATTTCTTAAAATAATTCTACTTGTGAAGTTCTATGTATGATGAAAGCTTTTTTTCACATCATGGTAAAATGAGYAATTTTGAACCAGTTAAAGACAAAAACATAAAGACTTGCARTCATAATATTGTATRTAAAACTAGCTAGTCAGTTTTTAAGAGAGGCCTGGGCCTTTTCTAAGAATCTGTTTCCCAAATATCTCATAGTATTCCTGTTGGGTTTTGAACTTTGCTCTTATGATAGTTATTAATAGTATGAGCAGAGCAGAGCAACACATTTAAAAAGTTAAAGCCATTTCCATTTTTTCTGACTAATTAGTATATTCCCTGATTCTTTGTAAATTCCTGAAAAAGAAAAAAACAAAAAACCCCAAATATCCAAAGTCCCTCCCCCCCCACTGTTTTGCTGCGATCAAGCTAATTTACCTCTGAACTAGGGTTCAGTTGCCTGTTTTCTCAGTATAGTCAAAATTCTCTGGATGACAACTTCTCTTTCTCAATCTATCTAATCAAGCAAAACCACACACCCACGTATACAACTCATGGCATACGTGCCAGTTCTGAGAATCAAAATTGCTRAAAAGAACAAACAAATTGGCACTTATGTAAATAGAAATTATATCATCATAATAATTATCACTTATATACACATTATATATACACACTTATATTATTTGCCATATAAATCCAGATGAATCAAAATAGTAGTAATCAGAGTAAATTACTTGATCATTGCAATAGGTCAATATGACCTCTTGGTTCCCCTCTATGGGACACTGAATTTAATACAGAGTAAACATTGCTGTTTCTGTTGAATACAGGGCTCTTTCTCAGGAACCAACTACCATGGTGGACAGGTAGGCAGTTTGTCTCTAACATTTACACTGATTAGTTCCTCAGGAATAATCATGGCTTAGTTGTCATATTTGCCCAGTAGCCATTAAATATTGAGTTCAATTTAGTCAGATAGATACAACAGATTCCAGAGAGTACATGTGGCTTTTATTGAATCACTCTTGMCATTTCAGTTATATCCTTGTATATGTAAGAGCCAGGATTTTACTTTGTAGTTACAGAAGTTTCCTTACCTCAAAAAATTACTGAAGAATCATCCAAAAGGTTCATCTCCCAGCATAAACCACTAAGATGATGTGTGGATAATTTGTCATTTGCCACGGCATTAGTAACTGTATAAGGTTCTTCCAGTTAATTAGTGTCATGTGTATTGTTTATATTAGGTCCTGGATTTTTTTAATGCCATTTAATATTTTGATGCTATTTTAAAATTATTTATAAAAATTTCACATTCTTCTGTGGTCTTTTACAGGGTTCATATCCTGGAAGCAGTCAGTATGGTGGACAGGCAAGAAACTTTTCTTTGTTTTCAAGATCTTTCTACTTGCAATTTATTAAATGAAAATTGTCATGCAGTGCATATATTGACAGTCAGTTTTTCAGAGTCATTTCACTCTTAATAAATATTTGAAAATAGACTGTCAGTAAATGAAATGGAGTAACACAAACAGATTTCCTTTTAAAGAAATTCCATAGATCGTAGTTCTAGTTATTTTACCTCAGAATGCTTCTCATCGCAAGTGATTATTACTTGTTTGCAATGTATCACTATACTATAGTACAAAAATTAATTTCTTTTTCCTCCACTGGCAAGCATTAAAGTTCAGTATCACTCTATCAAGATAATCTTTTGTGCAGTGTAGAATCTTGTAGGATTTTTAACAGCTGCAAATAATTTTTTTTTTTCCCAAACTCCTATTTGGTAATGATAACAATGCTTTACAATGACACACGTGATGCTCTCTGAACATGTATGACATAGTAGAAAATCACAAATAAAGTAGATTTTTTTTTCTCTTGAATGGAGCCATATGTAAGACACTTTTGATCCATTTATTTATCTAATAGAACAATCTTAGCAGGTGTTTTGTGACTGCAGAATTTTCTACTTTCAACTGTTGAGTAACTTAAAGGCATTAAGTCAGAAGTCTTTCGCTGTATCTTTTTTAGATTAATATACTTTCCAAATTGTTACTGAGATCTGTCAAAAGTCCTGTGATGTTTCATTCTGCACAGGGGAAAAAAAAAGTAATTGCTGTTAATTTTCTGTTTGTTTTTTTTTTAATAGGGATCTTATCCCTCAGGAAGCGGCCAGTATGGTGCACAGGTGGGTATATTCTCTCTCCATCCCTTATAACTCTTTCCTAACATACTTTCTTGGTCAGGTCAGTTACTTGATGCTGAAAGATACATTAATTTGGCCATTTTATTAAGTTTAAATAGCTGAGGTAATATGGATTGAAGTAGTTTCAGAAAGGGTGAACAAAAGATTTGGTTGCAATGAGTTAYTACTCAGTGTAAAGCATTCCTTTGAACATACTAGATTTTCCAGGCTGTCTTACATAACACTGCTTTCTTGATTCAAATTGCCATTGGTGTGGTATGCAGTACAGAGTGAAAATTTTAGGTACCCCATTTACTTACTTTTGTTCAAAGAACACCCAAATAAGCTTGTCCTAAGCACTGCAAAAATTGTCAGAAGACAGTGATTTAAGATTTTTCATTCAATTAATACAAGTTTGATTGACTTCTTACAGGCTCCCGGGGGCAGACCATATGGCAAACCTAGTGGAGGCAGACCATATGGTAAACCAGTAAGTACAAAACCCGCTTTTTTCTTATATACCTGTTAAAAAACATGTATCTAGTTAGTCATGGACTAGATAGTTTTCTTAGTATTGCTTTAATATGCAAAGAATGTCACATATTTATTTACCTGGATACTCTCAACAAATGCAAGCTTATATTTATTTTCACACAATCCTGTAGTTTTGAAGCAGCACTTCACTGTGTAGCTGAACTTGTAGTAATCACAGAATAAGACMACTGGATCTGTGTGTGTGTGTGCATGTGTGTAAGGAACTTCTGAAGAGTTAACTTCTCTTAGAATTCTTAATAATCAGACACTTTGTGAACAGAGGTCAGACTCAATGCTTGTAACATCTCCTKTTGCCAATGCCATTCAAATAAACAGAGCCACTTTGCCAGAAAACTGAATAAGATGCTTTCAGGACATCTAATTTTTCTGTATCCACTTTTATTTTCAACTACCTTTTTTATTAGATTTTTCTTTAAGTAGGGGCTGTAGAGTAAAGGACCCTTAACATTTGCCTTTTTTGTTAGCGGTAACTTTTTTTCCCAAATGTAACCATAGACTGATACCAGGTAAATTAATATCTAATTAGACCTTATTATTCTTTCCATTCCATATATTCCAAACACACCACAACTACAAAACAGTTCTTTCTTCTCGAGAATTTTGTATTAAATTTTCTGATACAACTTTGAAAGAACACTCATAACAGAAAGATGTTAAATATTTATATTCAGGTTTTGCCTGGGATTTTTTATGACTGGATACAAAACAGTGTTCATTCTTCCGTGGTCTTTTATTCCAGATAGAAAGACTATTTAAACAGAAATAGATTTAGAGTAAAAAACAGGTATCTTTTTCCAGGTTTCTTCTTCCTCAGGAGGTAGTCATCAAGGAAAGCCAGTAAGAATATTCTTCTTTCAGTATTCCACGAGCAAGTTAGAAATGGGGATATTGGTTATTAAGATAGGTAACAATAATCAGGGTGAAATTTAAAATTATGTTACAATGGTAAATGTCTGAGAAAAATTACCAATAAGAACTGGAATCTTTTGTTCAAACTTGAACCTTAGGATGAGGCAGCATTTATTCCTCCCATTGCAAAGTTTTGATATACTRTGTTACTTATTCATAGGAACATGTAATTCTAATAAGAATGATGTATTTAAATATCAGGGCAACTGTTTCAGTTTCCAACTTTGTAGTTCTGAGAAGCCACATTGCTTTGACCCATTCCTCTGAAACTGTTCATGAAATAAAAAGGACATAGCTGCGCTTACTTGAGACCATTCRACTAAAATAGGGGGGAAAGTGCAGTGAAAATGGTCAAATCAAATTAAGTATCAGATTTTGCCCCACTAATAGCCAAGGCATTTTCAAGACTGCTGTATGCTTTTCAGATGCTGTTCACTGCAGTCTTGTAGGACAACATCAAATGATTCATAATTATTTCACAGGGTGGCTCTGGCTCAGGAAGCACTTACCCTGGGAAAACAGTAAGAATACTTTCATCTCAGCATTTTCTTCTTAGTAACCAAAGAATCTGGGTCGGGGGTAGAGCAATTTGGGGATGCTTTGGTCTTAAGAGAACATTCTGTATTAGTTCAAYTTTGCTCTTGAACAACTTAAAACCRTGTTGTGGGTTAAACTATTAAAATCCTGTTGATCATAGGAAAGAACTGTGTTCAAAACCATTGGCTGAGAACTCCTCTATAGATTTATTTGTTTTTTTTTTGTTTTCAGCAATCACCTTCCTCAGGCGGTAGTCAAGTGGTAAGAACTTTTCCTCTTTGTAGTTTCTGCTGGTTTCTTCCTATACATGTCACAGAAAACTGAAATCTGTCAAATTTCCTACATCTGAATAAATGTTTGAGAACACRCGTGCAACATAATAAATGAAATAGTATTAACAAAAATGAAGTGGGACCACACAGGTGCTTTATACTTTTGACCTGACTATAACTGAAATACACCTGTTGATATAAATGTGACATACAACCTTTTTAAGATCAGAAGTGTCAACATAAAAGAAGTGGCTAAGAGAAAAAAAAAAAAAAGGGGGCTAAGAGAAGAGCCTTTCAGTTTCCATGCTTTTATAATAGTGATAAAAAGAACTATTTAGGAATGTGTTTATCAAATTTCTCTCCTTTTTTTATAGAGCTCTGCTGGGAAACACTCCACKCCCCAACTCCTGATGTTATTCAGTGTTTTGAGTGCCTTTGCTCTCTCTGCTGCTGTGACAAAATGGTCTATATGAACTTCCGAAGAGTTACTTGTCATCCTAAACACGGATTATATTCCGTATTATTAGATTACTTAATGTAAGAAGAAAAATACCCTTAAGTCAAATTGGCAGATGCTACTTGGCTGTTATGTTGCATGTCTAGCTGGTATGCCATGCCTCTCGTTAGTTTACTTCTGGTTTTAGTCAATAGTAGRTACCATTAGTTGTGTCAGTGTTTTAGGCATCACTTTAAGAGAGTTATATTGTACCCTACCTATACAATTTGTTTTTATTTCCAATAGGGAATGCAATGAACACCTACCTGAAAGGATTGGTGACAAATGAATACTTAGAAAATATTTGGTTATTAACCAAAGTGTAAAAGATTAAATAAGTTGTTGTATATGCAAACTGACCACTGTGCCTGGTAATCATCGCAAAAAATAAAGCTATGTAAACATCTCATAAGCAATTCTCCATGGGACAGAAGAAAAGATGCTGAAATAGTATCAGAGTATTGTTTTTTCTCTTCTGTAATTAAATTCAAATTCAACATAGAGATTGCAAAGGAACAAAAAAGAATATTCCACAGGACTTAATTTTTTTTGGGTTAATTAAAGTTTATTCATTAGAAAACTGAAACAGCTCAAAKACATTATAAACTCCATTCAAACYGACTGCAAATACCTAGAGCTCTGTMGAGAAGCATATGAAGCAAATGTACTCCAGATTAGGCTGATAAACTAAAAGCTGCTGAAAAAGAAAGCCTTTTTCCTTGGGAAGAAAGGAAAAGTTAATTAAACTCATAAAACTGATAGTGTCTTGGCTYCCTTTTCCCAAGTATTTAGTCTAATCTGGGATACCTCATCTATCTGAAAGTTTAATTTTGTGAGTGACGTGGATATCTGCAAGCAGGTACATCAGTGTGGTCCCTGAAATACCATGGACCATTTTTTGAGTTCAGGAGCAGTTTCACACCTTGCAGCAAACTSTTGTGGAGTTCTCAGAGCCACCTTCTGTTTGATGTTAACAAAGTGCATTCACCTAAAGCATACTCCTAATGAATGTACTACTGAACATGCACSTGCTATTGAAATTACCATTATTAGTAGTGTGTTTTTCACTCACGGTTTACAATTGTAATTRGTGGAAGAGGTTTCCATTCCAGTTCGCCTACCAACTTCCGCGGGGCCAGGATTTCACCCGGTTTTGATGTGCAGCACTACCCTTTGCCAGTCATCGGTAAATCAACCTGTAATTGAAGCATAAAGTCATGCCTTCATTGGTAAAGAATTTGGTTCTTCGGACAACACAGTCATGTTCTGTTTGAGGTCCGTACCTTAATTCGAAAAAGCCCTGCTATTCTCTAATAAATTTGTGATGGGTTTCATACAAAACGCTCGTGTCAGAGACTGCAAAAGCTCCCGTTGATGGTTTGGGCGGAACTCGGGCCGTGCCGCTCTCAGCTCTTGTGGAAGGGGCTCAGGGACCCGCCCGTGCCCCGCGCCGCTGCCCCTCATGCGGCGACAACCCCAGGCCCTGCCCGGGGCCCGGCCCGGAGCCCGCCCGGCTGCTGCCGGCTCTCGCTGCAGCCGCGGCCCTGGGAACGGAGCGGGCGGGGCTCGGCTGCAGCCGGAGCCTTTGCGGGACGGGACCGCGGCTCCCGGAAGCACCGGGCGGCGGAGCGAGCCGAGCGGGGCCGGCGGTGAGCGGGGAGCGGGGCCGCCGGGCGGAGCGCAGGTGGGAGCAGAGCCCGGCTGGGGCCGGCCCGCGGGGAGCGCTGCGGGGCTGTGCGGGAGGGAGGCGGCCCCGGGGAGGCCTGTGCTGGCGGGGACACCTTGGGGCTGCTGAATGGGGCGGGAAGCGGCTCTGTGGGGGCAGGCTGGGGAGGAAAGGGGTGGGATTGAAGAGACACCGAGAGAAATGTCTGGAAATGGGGTGGTTTGGGGAAGAGGGAGGAGAGGGTGAAGTTGCAGTTGCTGTGGGGAAGTGGCTGTGTGTGAAGTTGGGAAGGGGCACGGATTTGGCCAGAGCTGTATCTGTGCTGCTGAGGTTGTCACTCCCTTGCTGGGCTGCTGGTGCTCTGCTGAGAAGATGCTCACTATGYGTGACGTGGTGCTGCATGTAAAGTTCACAGAAATGCACATTTTACAAGTATTTTCATGGTATCACAATTTTATACCAAGTTTTTGAAATGTGAAATGCTCTAACAGTACAGCAATTATGGATTAAGCAGAAACTCAGAGGATATAGAGATAGCAAATGTAATAATGCATATTATGGAATAAACTGAAAGGTAAAAGATAAATATCAGAAGGTACCCCAAATTGTTTCATTTTATTAAATCCTATAAACTATGTTTTAAACCAGCATGAGGAAGACTTGGATTCTAGATAAAATATTTTAAGGGAATTATTAGGTGAAGAAGACTGACACAGCTTGCAGCAGCAGAGGGATGTGTTATTTGGGACATAAAGAACAGATGCAATAAACTTTCTAAAACTGAGTGAGCACCACAGTGGGAGGTTTTGTTTTTTACTGTGGCCTCTACACAGGAGGATTGAGATCTAAGACAATCTTTGCTTTTCAAAGAGCATATGTGCAGAATGACAGGGTCTTAGAATTGATATTAGGTTATGGACTGCTTTTCCCAAAAACAGTGGGGTTGGCTCTCACCCTAGRCACTGTACCTGACTTATCAGTGTGCACACTGAGTTGTGCTAGAGGCCACAGGGTGAGTTTGAGGGGATGACTGTTGTGGGGAAAGTGATTTACAATAAGCTCTCCCTCTGGAAGCTGTATCTCATGATTCCCTTGTACATGGTTAGGCATTGTAAGAACTTGTGATTAAAAATCACAGTTCTGAGAGATAAGGGTCCATTGGGATGCATAATGTTCTGGTTTGTAGAAGTAGTATGTGTAGCAAAAATACTGGTTTGGGGAAAGACTGGTTCTAGTAAGTATAAATTTGCTTTCTTTAGAGCAATGTGTTGTTAGGAGTAACTCTGCCTTTAACAATCCTACRGCTGCCTACGCAGCCTAATTCCTTATTCAGGTTACACTATTGTTGGCAATAACAAGAAGAAGGCAGGGATCATCTGAGCCAAGTACCTGTTGAATTCAAGTTGCATGTTCTCTTAAAACAGTTCCGGATTTGGCAGTGTTCGGTGAGGACAACACATCTTGATCTTTGGGACAGGCTTGCTAGGCACAGTTATTGCTCATATTATTCTTGAACTGTTTGCTACCTGGGCTTATTCTTCAGTTCATACCATATTCATGCTGCTTGTGCAGGCTCCATGCCTTTGCTGGAACTCAGGAGGCTGCACAGCTGGATCACAGCAATGGTGGATGTCTCTGAAGGAAGGAGAGATTCTTTTAACATGTGTACTTCTTAGGATCTGGTATGATAATGTCAGATGATTGGGAGTTTAGGATTTTGCCACTGGATTTCTGAACCTTGTCTTATATTTATACCCCTTCATCTGTTCAGCTGTCTAATTTTATTTGTAATTACTAGCGCTCTGCAGTGCCTACTGAATGATTTTCACTGTAGGATCCAGTTTGTAGTACTCTACTCCAAGTAGGTCACCTTGACTGAGGTGTTTGACACACCGTGTTGCCTTGAGTGCCCAGATTTGATTCGTGATTCATAAATAGTGTAAGTGTAAGCCATAGCTGAACCTCAGCTGGATTCAATGTTCAGTTTTCAGCAGCTTAAATCAAGCTCCTTCATTGGCTTGATACATCTGCAGGAACTGCATTCCAGCAGTCCTTTAGTTCATGGCACTGCATTCCTGTATGCTTGAGGAGGGATGGGCAGTGAACTAAAACTGAGAACTGAATGTCTCTCTGGTCCCAGGGTCTGCATGTGGCTGCTGGGTTTGGGTTCTATCTRTACTGTGATCTATACAATGAACACAGTGTATGTACTGTGAAAACTAGGGGCAGTTCAGGCAGCTTGTATCAAATTTCTGTGCTGGCAGGCAGAGTTTGGCTTAATGACTGTTATGTCAATATAAAACTATTGCACTACTGGGCAGAGTTGAAGGCTTCATCTTACAAGAAATGCTGCTGTTAACATTTAGCTCAATGAGGGCCTGAATTTCCTGAATCCTGAATATTTATACTCAATATCTGATTTGTATAGAATCAAAACAAATTTTCATCAGTCAAAAAAATATGATCTCTGGAATCTTARGTTTGGTTTTAAGAGTAAAGCTGGTGGGCTTAAAGAGCACTTAGCCACAAATTTCACATTTTAAGACTCGCAGTGCTTTACTCTTCCTGCCTTATGCATAGATTACAATGGTTATTTTTTCTCATAGAAAATGGTTATGCATAGATTACAATGGTTATTTTTTTCCCAAAAAAAAGAAAGAAACTAATGGAAAACCTTTAGGAGCTCATAAAAACACTCACCCAGATTCCCTGTCTGTACAGTTTTCTGTCAGCCTCTAAGAAAACCTTACCTGAGTATCAAGCAATTTATAGCATTCTCKGAAATTGGACTTTAGTTAATAGTTAATATGTAATTGCATTCCCTTTGTTAGAGATTGATAGAATTTGCTGGTTGAGTGATATATGGMTGGTGAATCACTGATACAGCCTCCACTATCTTCAGCAGAAGCCAAAGTTTTAGAGCAAAGTTGAGAAGAAATCTTTGGTTGATCTTTAACAGTTACCATTTAATGTATAACTGCTCYGTACCTAAGTGCACTTACCTGTTTTAGAAACCATCTGCATGATTTTAAAATGGCCAAGAGTTGTGATTTAACCTYAGCTGGCAACTAAGCATCACACAGCCACTTGCTCACTCCCTCCTGATGGGATGGGGGAGACAATCAGAAAGAAGGGTAAAAGAAAATTCGTGGGTAAGAGACATAGACAGTTTGGTAGGTAAAGCAAAAGCTGCACATGCAAGCAAAGCAAACCAAACAATTCTTTTACCACGTTCCATGGGCAGGCAGATGTTCAGGCATCTCCAGAAAGACAGAGTTCCATTCTGTGTAACAGTGAAGACAGCATCACCTTGAACCTTCTTCCTTCTTCTGCCAGCTCTGTGTACTGAGCATGACTCCATATGGTCTGACATATCCCCGTGGTCACGTGCCTCCTCCCAAGTTTCTGTGCACTGCCAGCCTTTTCGCTGGTGGGGTGGAGGCAGAAAAGTGTAAGCCCTGCTCAGCAATAATAGAAACTTTCATGTGTTGTTAATGCTTTTCAGCAAAAATCACAGATCCCAAACACAGCTCCCTAACAGCTCATCTGAAGAAAATGAACTCTAACCCAGCCAAAACTAGCACACAATTATGCCTAGAGAGTAAGATGACGTTGCGGGAGCAAGGTCCACCAGTGATCTACCGTGTTCTACYTGATATCCTTGTCTTACACATATTATTTGAATGCAGTTGTGTTCTTAATTCTTTTCACTAGTTAAGAATTTTTTATGTAAATGGAGAAATTGGAAATACTGCCTGAAGGAAACCTTCATGTGAAAAAAACCTTTGTTCCTCATTTCTGCTAGAAGAATAAGGAAAAAGCTTTGTTAGAAGATTTGCTTTTAACCACGCTTCTTCAGAAGTGTACAAGCTCTAAGAGAAACACAGTTTTGGTTTTTTTCATAGTATACTTAGTGTTCTTTATAGTGTCTCCAGCAAGAAAAAATGGGTAAAAAACTGGAAAACAGAAGAAAAAATAAGGTAAGTCTAAAAATTATGAAGTGATTTGCACTGATTTAGTTGAAAAGTGCCATGTACTTGGGGAGGAACAGCTGACAATTGTAGATAAATTTTGGCAGGGACCAATAAGAAACCTGTTTACTGTATGAGGAAAATGGAAARCATAGTGATATTTTAGTGAGAAATGCAAGGTTTAAGATTATTAGAAATATTTAGGATATGCATTGCTAAAATTACAGTGACATAACAGATTGCATCTTGTGGTGGTGAGGGGAGAAAAAAATGTATTGTCAAATTACGGCAGTCCAAATATGGCAGTTAAATTATTCGTATGTATGTAAAATCTACTTCAGAACCCTSTTCAGCAACACTTAACTAGATTTGGAAAGGCCTGTGCACCCTCTGTACCATGTGGAATATTTGAACACTTAGACTGATGGAGTTTCTTCAGCTCTTTGGGCAGCTTGTTCCTGAATTACCCCAGTCCATGTCCAGGCCCTTGTACTTGGCCTTGTTGAATTTCATTAGGTTCCTTCCTTCCATTTATTTCTATACTTGAAGTATTTGCTGTATTAGATACTACTTCTGGTAAAAACAAAGCTATATTYACTCCAAAGAAAAAGAATATTTATAGAGTAGTACTTTCCTCTGAGGAATGTGGTTTTGTTGCAGTAAATGATGTTCCTAGTGTGTTATCCACTAAGAGGGAAGAGGGAAATGCATGTAGAGAATAAGAAAACCATAGAAAGAAGTCTTATAAAAATAGGTTCTTCAGGTTGTGTGAGTTAGCTCTTACTCCACCTTCCAATTGTGCTTTTCCTTTGTTGACAGCTTATTATATTTGTACAGGTGTAACATCAGCASTAGGTTCATATTAAATTGGAGAAATATGAGAACACCATCCTGTTTCTTTAATCTGTTATCCTGCTTTCAAATCGAATGCCCGGAAAGTGTGTTCGTACCTGTACCACTGGAGTGACACAGTGTACTTTACTTTCCTTTTTTTTCACATAAAGCAGACTCAATCAGTGTTTATTTTCTAGCAGATCCCATATGGAGAATTTGGTGTAGTGGCACAGAAAATTTAAACTTTGCCATTGCCAGTTTTGAGGCTGGTTGTCTACTTCTGTGTTTGGCTTTGCATTTTAAGTGATACACAAATGCCTTTTATCTGATTAATCATAAAATGGAATAAGAGCTAAGAAAAATAACTCCTGTAACTTGGCTTTTTTACTCTAAAAGACTGTCAGCAGTGAAAACATTTCACAGCTAGGCTGGAAGGAATTTAATTCATGTAATGACTTCACTGTGAAGATTTGGAGCATGATTGTAGTTTATTTTTCTTTTTTTAAATTAAACTTTACTTGTGACAGAGTATGGAGGAATAAAGAAATAGTTGCCAGTGGAGGTTATTTTTGTCAGATCTTTTGATGAATTTAACCTACTCGTCTCTTTTATATGAGACTTACTGGAATTTACTGTTATTTTTTTTTGTTTTGGGCTGTCTTATACTTCTTCAGATAACATTGGATGCTTGGGGTTTTTTATATACATTTTCTCTGATACGCCCTGTGGTTCTGTGGGATTTTGAGTCCTACAAACTCAAGAATAGAATCAGTTCATAAACAAATGCTTAATTTTGCACAGGATTTTGCAATGGTAGATACTTAGCAGCTGAAAAAYTCAGAAGTTTATACCATCAGATCTTTAAAAGACAAAATCTTAAGGTTACAAAAAGTCCTGTGATCTTATTGCTCTGCATTAAACCCTGATTAATATCAGTGAATTTTGTTAAGAATGGAAAGAGGAAAATAAAAACTTCTATGGGATGTGTGCTGTTCTTAAATCAAATTGATTATGGCCTGATTTCATCTATAAACACTAGAATTTACCAGTATTTCAGAAGGAAAAGTGTAGGGATGAAATAAAAATAAAACGTAAAATACTAAATTTTAGCCTGCATTGGAAGTATGACAGAGGGAGATGAAAATCTGCAAGTCACAAATCTATTAATGAATATTATGGGATGGAAATATGTGATTTTCTACTTTAAAAAATCTGCTTCCTTTGAGGAGTTATTCTTTAGATTTTGCACAGTATGGTACTTTGAGCTGAAATTATTACTTCCTGTATAGATTTCTCTGCTTTGGTTTGTCTTCTGAAAACTTTTCCAGGGTTCTTCCCCTTTTTACTTTCAAGGAGAACAGCTCTTTACATAGTGTCCACCTGCATTTTATCCACCTGTGTGTACTGAACTCCACTTTTGTGTGGCTGTAAATCCCATCTTGGCTTCCTGCATATTGGCTCTGTGTGGAGCTGCCCTCTGTGTGGCTGCAGGGTGTGTCCATGGCACAAGGAAGAAATGACGCAGAAGCGGCTGGCTTTTTAACATAAACTTTTTAACATAAACTTTTTAACATTTTGTTTTAACATAAACTAACAGAAGAAAAGAGTAATGCGGTGGGTTATTTAGTGTTACAGTCAGTGAACTGCCGGTCCTAGCACATCTCACTGTAGTCCACAGTTCAAAAGACAGAGTTCATGTGACCACTCAGTTTCCAGTCTTTGAATTGGCAAACCTAAATCTAAATTTTCMAATAGGTACATCCTGCAGACTACCAAGTAGTGCATCCAAAGCCAGTAAGAAATCTAATTTGTAACTCTGTACAAGAAATGCATTGGGAATTTCAATATCATTATTAGTTTAAGACAATCAAAGTGTGGGYTGTTGCTGAAGACAATAATTCATTTGTTCTGTGACTGCTCAGTCTGTTGCTGTGAGGATTGCAGGAGCCCATGGCTACAAGTGAGCAGTTASACCTCTGCTAGTCACCTGTAAATCTGAAGCTGCGCTGAAACTGCAGTTGAAGGCATCCCAGCTGTTTAAAGTTCAATACTTTGCTCCTTTTCTGGATCCTGTTCCCAGTTTGCACAGAGGTCTGTGAGCTGATAAGCCGCTCTTTTAAAGAAAGGAGAAAGGACCAGGAGAGTTGATAAGATGTGTGTGCTTTGGAGAGAGTGGTTGTATTATTGGTATACATATGTTTCAGGGCYTTAGTTCCTGCTCTGTGAACCAGCTTGTAAGTACAGCATGAGACTTCCCACACTTGCTGTCTACAAGCCTGTCTTGTTGACCACTGCCGGGACAACTTTTAACAAGTATCCTTATTTCAGCTATCACATTGGACACTTAGATTCCATTTTGTGTGAACTTTTAAAACTTTGAAAGTGCATTAGTGACTTAGGTAAGGAAATGCTTCCTGCTACTGGTGCCTTTTTGGGATACATTGTCTGGGGGAAGTTCCCTTTTTTATCATGACTACTGAGGAAAACARGACAGAAGTTCAAGATAATAATGTGGTATGTATTCTTTATGGCTGTGCTGATGGGCTTATCAAACTGTTGTGCTTGGAGGTTTATTTTCATGCTGATTGCTTTGGTACTTGCTCATAAACAGCATACTGTTTTACTTTAAAAATTACACCTTAAGCTGCTTCAAAAGTAGATGGTTGYATTTCAGCAAAAAAAAATTAATGTGAACATTATTTTTAATATTATGACCTGTTTTGAAGGTTACAGAATTGATATCTGATAATTTTTTAACATTTGTAAAATCCTTTGTCGCTTCACAGGCTGACAGARTGTAAAAACTTGGGTCCAAGTCAGGAGGGATATATGTGTTTGCATTTATCTGTAATTTGTTCAGAAGCATTTTGAAAATTGAAAACCAAAAAGTTTAAAAGCTTATTTATCTGTAGATGAGCTTTCATGAAATTCAGTGGTTTTTATCTTAAAAATATATTGCTCTTTATTTCCAGTTTTTCAAGTCTCAATACTACAATATGAGGTAGATGGAAAGAAAGGTGAAAGAAATTGTTTGTTCTAGTTGGTTCACATAAATGTCAGTTTTCTCCAGTGTTATAGGTAGGCCTCTTAGTGAAATCGAGTTCTCTATTTTCTCGCAGTAGGTTTTAATTTCCATTCCCTTTTTCTCCTGTCTTCTTTGTGTTGCTGGTATTTCTCCAGAAAGCATGGTCTCTGAATGTACATGTCACTTCTTCATCCCTTTGCAGGAACTAGTCCTTACTCCTTACTGCTCCTTGTTCTCAGCTGTAGCAAATTTATTCTACAAAGTTGTTGTTCTTCAGCTAACAGATCATCTTAATTTTGTTGTTGGGGATGCATAATTCCACAGTTAACATCCTCATTTAATGGAGTATTCCACCAGAAYCAGTGGAAAACAGCAAGTCTTGAATATTGTCTGCACTTTTCTTCTCTTTCATACTTTATATTWCTGTCTGATTCATGTTGTTCAGTGCAGTTGCATCTTTAGTATTTGTTTCTTCAGAAGTCAAATGAGATCATAGTTCATACAAAAATATCTCCTTTAAAGATTCCTTAAAGGAATCTTGTGTTTCTTCCTCAGTTTCTGCATGCTGGCATCCTTTTCTTCCTTATTTGCCAGTATGCTTTTATAAATGTTTTTACAACAGCATGATTTTTTAGTTGAACGGTTTTGTTGTGTATGTATAATACAAGTGTGTACTTCATATCTTTGTGTCTGTTGGTAATTCACACCAGTTTGCAGATTACTGTAATGTCTTTTAAGTGTCAGTGTCATATAGGTAATAATTTGACTTTGAGTACTTGACTGGAGAAAATCTATAAATGCTTAGAGACAAGATAAAGACAAGTCAGAAATATTTGAAGAGTACAGCTCTCCAAATGTCTGCAAAAACACCAGTGAAATGCATCTTGAGCTGGAGAAATGCAGTCAGCAAGAAACAGCTTCAGTTCCACATACAAATATTTAGAGGTACCAGCACATCCTTGAGCAGTGTGTACAAAGCTGAATAGTTAATGAGTCACAAGGTGTGTGCCTGCAGGTGTAAAACACAGGGACAGCTCTGCCATCTGCACCCAATAAGTGTGCCATGTCTACATTTCTGAAATTGAGGACCGCATTCATTGTCTTGGCTTGTTACTGTTTTTCTGTAGTTTGTAAACATAGTTGTAAACTTCTAGTTATTGATTTGATTTAACTTCGGTGTTATAAAAAACGCCTTTATTTTTGAATAAGTGGGCAGTGAAGGGAGTAAAAGGCCATCTTTTATAAAAAGCATTAGTTTCTATGTATGGAAGTTCTTTATATGAATAGCAAAATTTTGTWATGTTCTAAGTAGCAGCAAGATTTTAAATTTCCTTGTCATATTGTGCTTGGAGTCTGAGAAAATAGTTGTAGTCACTTAGTCATGAATATTCGATTAATTTTTTTCTGAGCCGGATAATCATCAGCAGGGCAGGTGTAGTGCTGCCTCCCCTGCAGCTCCTCCATCCCAGCTCTGCCTTCCCACAACTCTCCCTTCATTGCCAGGCATGCCTCTCATTCTCATGTAAAGCAGCCCAGCTYTCACCCATCTTTTGCTGGCACAGTGCCACCTGGCAAGGCAGAGACYGCAACCTGACAGACCTTGGGAGAGCTGGAACAGTGGGAAGATCACTTCAGTCTGGGAACAGCTCATTGCAGCAGGAGCACTGGGCATTCTGCTGTATCACAGCAGAAAACACCTTCACCCTGAAAATACCCTGTCAGCCTTCACCTACATAAAGAAATATGTGATTCCCAGTATCTGCAATATTACCTTTGGGTTTGTTTCTTCTTTTCTGTTTCAGAAAGAAAAAAGTCAAGAAATGTCTGCCAATTTAAAGTACCTTTCCTTGGGCATCCTGGTTTTTCAGACCACAAGTTTAGTCTTGACCATGCGCTATTCTCGGACACTGAAAGAAGAAGGACCTCGTTACTTGTCCTCTACTGCAGTAGTTATTGCTGAACTTCTGAAGATTTTGGCCTGTGTTCTATTAGTCTACAAAGACAGCAGTATGTGTCAAATTTTGCACCAAGTAATTTTCCTAATCAATATGCTGTATTGTAGTGGCAACTGCAAAGCAGCCATGTGAGTACAGGCATACAACAAAGCATTTCCCTTCTCCTTGTGTAAGAAATAGTCTTGGGAAGATGATAATCATACTTGCTTAATATTTCCTTAAGAGAATGTGGATACTGAGGAGTGAAAGAATGAATTTTTGCTAACATCTCAAAGTTTGTGTCTGCTCAGGCATTTTAAGAAATCTGTATGTAAAAGTAGGAAAAAAATCAAAGYTTTAAGTGTCCAAAGCATGAGCAGTAATTTAGAAACCTATGACAAACAGCAGATACAGAAGGGAGGAGGCAATTTCATTGTTACAGAATCATAGCTTAAAGCTAAAAAAAAAAAAGTATATTCAAATTTACTCCAGTTCTTATTTTGTAGATTTTAAACTGAATCTATCTGATTTCTGCTTAATTTTCAGCAACTTAGAAATGTCATTGTCTATGCATAAATATTGATGACTCTGTAGGATTCAAAATATGCACTTTTTAGGTGTTACTCCTTGTTATATTAAGTTATTGATAMGGATTCAAAAAGTTTTACTCAAAGTATTTTGAATAGTTGTTTTCATTCTGATACTCCAGGCTGCCAGAAGACACTTGCAGCCTTTTTTCCTTACATAGACAAGGCTTATGGTCAAACAAATATAGATATTATTTTCAGGTCTTGGCATAGTGATAGCTATAAAAAGAGGCAACAATTTTAAGAACAGAACATTGCTGTTTATCTTTTTTTTTACCCCTTTAAGTGAATGTCTATTTCTTTTACTGTTTCTTTGGGTAGAATGCAATTTACGGACTCTGAACAGAGTGCTACATGATGAAATCCTTAACAAACCCATGGAAACTCTTAAACTTGCTATTCCTTCAGGAATTTACACTCTTCAGAACAACTTGCTATATGTAGCGTTGTCAAACTTAGATGCAGCCACATACCAGGTATTGCATGTTTGGAATTCTCTGTAAGTTTCAAAAATACTCCATGTTATGGGGTAGTAGCAGTAGTAGTAATTGTTTCTGGTTSTTCTAGGTTACATACCAACTGAAAATTCTCACCACAGCATTGTTTTCTGTGTCCATGTTGAGCAAGAAATTGGGTGTATACCAGTGGCTGTCACTGGTAATATTGATGACAGGAGTGGCATTCGTGCAGGTAAATATKAGCAGGTGGTTGGTGGGGTTTTAATGTGTTTATTCAAGAAACATGGATTTCTRTACTGATTGTCCAGCTTTCTGATTCTACCAGCTGCACACGAGCACCAGAGTATAGTCAGGAGCTACGAATCACAACTGGCCAGGTCTGGAGGACACCAGAAATGGTTCAAAGGCAGAAGATAACACCTCTTCTGCAACCCAGTGCTCTACTGTAGAATGTGACAGGGCCTCTGAAGCAATCTGCAAGTAATAATGATAGCAATGTTTATTAGCACATTTCTGCCGACATTAGGAATTCACAGATCTTCTCTGATAGCCCAGGCTGTATGGTTTCAGCATGGCAAATTTCAAAAAGTAACATTGGCCTCAGCTCTAAATAGTGCAGGTACCAGAGTTAATAGTTTTCACAGGGCAGGACTATGGGATAAGAGACTATTCTAAGAATTTTTAGCAGACTTCAGTATGTCCTAGAAATTTTTGGTTTAAAACTTAAGGATTTGCAAAAAGATACAGTGATTAAATTCAGTAACAAAAAATGAGGACAAAACACTGCTCGTATTTAACAGACTCCTCMGTAAGTTTTTGTCTATGGCATTGCGTTTTATTCAGCAAGCATTAGGCACAATGCAGAATTTAGCTGGTCTGCACAATCACCAGAAGGGCACATGAAAAAGACAATTCATTCCATCTTAAGGAAAGCTGGTGTAAGTAGTTTTCTRACTGTGCTTATATTTGTAAGGTAACCAGCTGTTGGGTGGCACAAGTGGGTGGCTGTGAATGACCATGACAAGTCAAACTAGGATTCAAAAACAGGTTTTGCTTATGAAACATAAATCCTACACCTATTTAAATTCATGAGTATTCTCTCAGTTCAGGCATAATTTCTCTCCTTACAAATATGTAGAAAGAAAAATTATAGCTTTGCATACTTTTAAAAGTATTTATGGTGCAAAATGCAAAACTCTACAAGCATGTGATTGTCTGTATTTAGTAACTCTTACTGTTGGTAGAAAAAAAATAGTGTTTTATAGATGCTCATGGTCCATCAGTGAATTTTGTTTAACTGTTTTTACATCCAGTGGCCTTCAGACTCTCAAGCAACACCTGCTAAGGAGCATTCAGCAGGATCGCAGTTTGTAGGCCTGATTGCAGTTCTCATAGCGTGCTTTTCCAGTGGATTTGCTGGGGTTTATTTTGAGAAAATCTTAAAAGAAACTAARCAGTCTGTGTGGATCAGAAACATTCAGCTTGGTAAGTTTAATTTTAATCATCTGTGATATMTTGCATTCTGAAGAATTAAGATCAATGTGCAAAATAAATGTATAAATAACAAATATCAYCAACATTTTAGTATGATCCATAAATGTTATTTTTAAAGCAAAACTCTGCTAGATGGAATTACAGCAGTTACTTTCTGGCTTCAGTCTAGTTCTTGATTTAATTTGTTAATAGAGTATCTGTAGAATTGTACAAAATCTGTCAATTGAGCTAATTTATTTTACTATTTCTTAGAGAATATAGGAATGTTAAAACAAAGTATGTTTCCAAGTCAGTGTTTTAAGATGTTTTAAAATTAACATATTTTTTCTCTTGTGCCTGGGTAGGGAGTTTTTTTTATTAAATGTGTTAACCTATAAAATCTGCTTTGTTTCTAAATAAAGCTGAGGTAATGAGTTATTGTTATTTCAGTACAAAGGTCAGTGTCTTTCAGGTGTTTTATAATCTCTGGGGAGAGATATATGCAAAAGACCAATTCATCTTAACTATTTTAATGCCTTTACCTACTGTGCAGATATCAGAAAATATCTTCTATTTCCAAAGCAGTCTTGGGTCTTCTAGATCCTATATATTAATGGCCACACAGTTGATCTCTGTTCTTGAGTGAGTTTTCCCTCATTTCAAAGCAATCTTGTGCAGTTTATAGGGTTGGAAATGTGACATCAACAATCTTTTTGTTCCTGTTTTGCAACAGAGAAAAAGCGTATTGTTGCCTTTCTTGCTTTAAAAGAGTCCCTCTAGTCTTCACCTGTAGGTAATAAATATTTATGGCATATTTGAATGAATGTGTTGAGCAGAATTTGACCTTTCCAGTAACTTAGAATGGACCAGTGATCAAATCCACAATGTAGAGTCATGAGAYGATTTAGTGGCTCAGAGTTGTGTTACTGAGTCTGGTGGAATGTAGTGCAGTACTGTAAAAACAGGAGATGGTGTGGGTACTTTTGTAATTAATTAATTTGTCAATAACCCATATTTCTTTCCTTAACTTTCCTACTACTATGTTTTAATTATAAAAGGTTTCAGTTAAAGAGAAAACAGGGAGGGAATAGAAAAAAATGCTCCCCCTTTGCTGCTCACGATTACAGCAGACATCAGTCACAGAGTAGCTGCTTATATTATGCCATGGTTGAGGGATTGGGAAAGCTTTCCCATTTGATAAAAGAAGACTATACTCATCAAATTAAAACCTTGATAGTCTCTCAATTTCAGCTTTTGACATTATTTTCTACGAGTAAACATTCATTGTGTTTGAGACTGGCTCAGGAGAATCCCACTTGGAAGATCCTTGTCTGAATTGGCAAGCTGCTAATTGCTGCTCCTGCTATGTCAGAAACCTCCTCCACTGAGTGTTTTCCCTGATTTTCTCTCCAGATTATGGGGTGACTTCAGCCTTCAATTATGATTAGTTTCAGGAAAACTAAAATTGCATTGAAGTGAATTAYGCTGTATGCCATAAAAATCACTCCATTCCGGTAGAAAGCAATGGAAGATAAGTACATAAGGATATCTTAATGGTAACTATCAAAACTTGCTTTAAGTGTGGAGAATAGCTTTTAAAAGAGAACAGCAAACTGATTGCATTTGGATGTGATGATATTGCAAGTGACAGTCTAATTTTAAAATCAGAAATACGTGAGCAGCCTTTAAGGATGAGGAATCCATTTGCATGTTTTTCACCTGAAGCTTTTATATCTGTCTTGTATTTTCAGGATTTTTTGGTAGCATATTCGGACTAATGGGTGTTTACATTTATGATGGAGAACAGCTGTCAAAGAATGGATTTTTTCAAGGATACAAYAAACTTACTTGGGTGGTGGTTGTTCTACAGGTGAGGTACCTTGTGTTGCTTTTTTCTGTGAAGGCATTTGGGGATTTACTCCTCTATAAATGACTGGGGAAACTAATGGATGTCATTGAAGCTAATGAGAATTCTATAGTCAAAAGTCTGATCTATCATTTTTAGCATAAACCTCTAAAGAAAGCCTGGAAAATTTATAGCAACTATGTGATGAAGTATTGTGCAAATTAAAAGCATGTAAGCATTATTTATTTTGTGATGTTTAGAATTGTCTCTATATATGCTTTTCCTCTTGTGKCTATAAATGTAGACTACAAGCATTTAATGGTGATAATATGATCAACATTTTCTTTAAAGAGGAAAGAACTACTCCTCCAATATTTATTTTCAACAGTGCACATCCATAATATAAAATAAATATATTGCTCCTCAACACAGACAAAAGCTTTTCCTAAAGTAAGTGCATGGTGTTAGCAGTTTGTGAATCCAAACCTCACTATTTTTCCAGGCTCTTGGAGGACTGGTGATTGCTGCTGTTATAAAATATGCAGACAACATTTTAAAGGGATTTGCAACTTCTCTCTCTATTATACTGTCAACATTGATCTCCTATTTCTGGCTGCAAGATTTTGTCCCTACAAGGTAAGAATTATTTTTCATGTATGCTAAAAAAGGATTGAAAACTTACTGCTTACCAGATGTAACTACGAAAATAAATTACAAAAGCAATCCCGTCCAAGCCACACTTTCMGAATGTTTAGGTACAGCTTGCACATCAGTTTAGCCTCATCCRTCGCTAGCAGTGGTGCTGCCGGCGGTCCCGATCCGCCCGTTGCCGCCCGGGCGTGTGCGCTGCGCCCTCTGGCGCCGCGGGGCCGGGACCAAGGGACACCGCGGGGACATCGCCTCTGTGCTGCTTTCAGCCGCCCGCACCGCGGCTCTCACAGAGGTACCTGCGGTCACACACCCGTGGAAGTGGCTCTACAGCCCTGAGTTACCCAAGGGCACCCAGAAGCCCAAAGGCAGAGCTGTTTCTAGCGGCAACACCGTGTTRAGTAGTGAAAACAGCCGAGAAAGAAAGTGCTTGGTCTGTTCTTGTAGGCTCTGTGCAGTGTCCTGATGTTTTGGGAATCAGACTGTAGTGGCTCCGTGTACCACAGGTTTTGTACATGGGTAGGTTCAGAACACTGCTTATCTTGGCAGTGTATGTTCATMTATGGAGGGTAGAAGAAATAATCCCACTTCCACATATAGTAATAGGATTTTGCTTGTAATTGACTGACACTCCTTGCATATGTTACACCTACTCATAGCATAGAAATATTTTTAATATTTATGACTTTTGTATCTGGTACAAAGAAACTTCTTTTTATCTAGAAGTATATATTTGCAATACTGTGGTGCTTTCCATTCCTACCCATTCTGTGATTCTGTATTATCAGGGCTTGACTTAAACATTCAAAAAAAGAAGTAGAGCAACTATTTAGACTTAAGAGATGGAAGACATTGAACTTAAATTATAAGTGGACTATATTTGTCCCATTTTAACAAATGAAGAAAATGCTTTAATAATTTCTGTGTAGTGAAATGGGAAATTAATAAGTAACTTAACAGCTTCTGCAAACATGCTGAAAATTGAATAGAGCCAAGTAGCAGCATGCAGAACATGAAGCCATCCCATTTAATAAAACTTGATCAATTTGAGTTAATCGAACTTAATCTTTAGTACCTTGCTTGTGCTACCAATGTATTTGAACTGGAATTGTGTAATTGTTTCTGTCGCATCGACAAACATTTTGATTGGGGTGATAGATGTAACGTACTTAAATGCTTTAATGTGTTGCAATGGGCCATGTTCTAAAACTGAATGTATCCCTGAATATAGGCTGAATATATTCTTTGAAGGATTATCATGTCATATACCATAGGCTTTTTAGCATTTGATTGAGAAGATCAAAATTGTCGACATCGTCATGTCTATGAGAAGGTTCTTTTCTAAAATGTGTACTGATTGTCTGTTGGCTTTCGTTATTTTGTATCAGGCTTGTAACTAGCAAAACAACTTGRAAGGCCAAAATGTCACAATAGAAAAGATGCCTTTGTTGTGTTTTCACGAGACAAATTTGTCTGTATCTGCCCAAAATTAGATTTTACTGACTTGCAAACTGGTTCTTGGGCAGCAGTAATTTGTTTTGATGTGAACTTTGGACTTCTTAGCAAACACAGCTCCAACAACATGATGTATACAATATGTTAAAAARGGGTGGGTCACCACAGTAGCTGCTTTTCTTCAGGTCCTGCTTCCATTTCGCACACATCTTTGGGAAAAAAGATGATGCAAATAGGGATTGATCTGATTCCTTTTAACAATTGTTCCATGAAAGTATAATTTTAATTTTCAGAATGTGTTAATGTAATGATACATTAGTTCATAGTTACAAGATTCCTATTTCAACAACTTTCTGCATCTCTCTAAAATAAATATGTAGGAATTATTTTGTTCATTATAAATTGGACAAATATAATTTATCTTCCTGTTGTCCTCATGGAAAAATGTCCTTTCTTTTGTTTGTATTGCATAAATCATTTACATCAACTAAAACAAACTCTATTTTTGTCGCTATTCTATTCAGTGTCTTTTTCTTCGGAGCCATCCTTGTAATAGCAGCTACTTTCCTGTACGGTTATGATCCCAAACCTGCTGGAAATCCCATTAAGGCATAGCAGACTTCCTCATCAACCTGCTTCTGGAGATCATGCACTGGGGCCTTGCTAGCACTGGCTTGTGGAAAGTGTCACTGTGCATTGCAAGGGAAGGATGACTGCCCTGAACATCCTGAAGCAATGCTGAAGAGTAGTTCTGAACAGCCAGAGGGGTCACAGGTGGAGGATGATGCTGTCTGTAACTGATGGGGGGAAATGTCAGGGGAATGCCCAGTGCAACTTGCTAATAAAAACTTGAAAGGAACCAAAAGTWTCCAAGAAACTACAATTAGGAATGTTTACAGCTTTGACTGAGATTGCATCAAAAGAATTACTGTATTGACTGCTGCAGAAATATGTCCTATGCACTCTTTGAAAGAGCACATGACAACGTTGTCAGATTGTATGTTTTTGCGATTGGATTCTATTTAATCTTAGTAAATATGTTTTTAACTGTTTGTCTATTTCCGTGAAATGAGCTGAACGTCATAGTTCTRAAGTGATGGTTCTAATTAGGTATTCCTTATTAAAACTGTGAAAATTGAAATATGATTGAAAGACACTTTCACAATATCAAATATTTTTATATTTTAGAAGGCTGATTTAATAACAGAAACCTGTTATTAAATAATAATATTATAGTTCTGTTGCTTATATAAAACTATTGTAAGAATGCTAACATTCTCACTGAAGTACACAAAGGGAGGAATTCTCCAGCCTTTATCAGCCTGTAGTGTTGTGACAAATGGAATAACTGTGGGAACACCGGCTGGAGGCTACTGCGCTCACCTGGGAGTAAGAGTAGGGTTATGATGGGTGCTTGCTCAGATGTAATGTTCATTCTTGTTATTTTACTGATTATAAATCAACTTTTTGGTAGAATCTTAAGAGTAGCTTTTATGCTTTAAATAGCCTCTGAAGATTTTTTTTAAACCACAATTTTAAAAATCAAACAGCCTATAAAAAACAAGTTAAAGGTATGTCATTATCTCCTACAGCACCATCTGGAGATATTATGGTATGGCATCTGTATACTGTACTGTACTTTATTACAGAGGTGTTTTTTAAACAAGTGTTGTTTATTCATTAACTCTTCAAGGCTTTTTCTGTATATCTATGTAATGGCTTAATTAGAGTTGCAGATGGGTTTTTTTAATTATTATTTTGTTCTGGGAGTCCTTGAGCCAACAGACCAAAATGGGTTCTCTGGAGCTATTTAGTCTAGTAGTGGAATTACTTTAATAGGAAACAWAATTAAAAAGCAATTAATTGTGCAATAGGTAAATATAAAAGTATGCTGTTGTTCGTTTTAAACAAAAAAAACTTTACAAAGAAACTGTGCTGCGATTAGATCAATTAGACTGTTATGAACACTTCACTTGAAGTATTTGCATATAGTCAGAAACACTAAAAAATTATGGAACTAATAAACAAAAAACTGTCTTAAAAAGAATTGGTTTTCAGGAGACTGTTCACAATGGATGTTAATGTTGGGTGACTTGTGTGACACTTGTGTGGTGTATTTATACAAAAACACATCAGGAGTCCCTTACCAATGGAATGGCGAGTAAAATCGTCTTTATTTCCCTTGTTCCCCACCACCACCCCGTTCATGCTCTTTCTCACTTCTGTCTTGTGCTAAAGAAAACATGTTACAGAGAAAGGTGTTTTCAAATGTTTACCAAAGTACCTTATCTGATTGATGAGGAGATTTTGTAGGAGTGCTCTGAGATTCCTTAATGAAGTGTCATAAACAGGAAAGGAAGAATTCCACTTGTGTCAGCCAAGTAAAAATAGTGTTTTTCTTCTGTTTGCAATTACATGTTTTATCAACATTCTGTTTGTTTATCTTATCAGAGCAAGACATTGAAGAAATGTCTGTGCTGTGCCAAGGGCTTGCTTAGCTTTGTGAACTGTGAATCTGTCCCAGCGCATTGTAATTGCAGGAACTTTGCTACTTGGTGGTCATAACTATCTAAATGGGCATTCTATGTTAATATTAAATATTTTAGCTGGAACATTCGATATGGCACAATCTTTGGGAAGTCACATTTAGCAATTTCCCCAGTGCAGTGCAGCATGAGGTAAGATGTGTACATAGAGCAGCGACTCGCAACGGTGCTGAGTGCAGAATGGGAACTGCACAGCTCTGAAATGACCTGGGAATTGTTGGTGGGARTCTCTCAGTTGGAGTTTGGCCTGCACAATAATACTTTTCATTTCATTCATCACAGCAGTGGAAATGTTCAGGTGATTGAGCTGGTTACTTTCCTAAGAAAAGTCTCCAAAAACCATAAGAACAGGTTGAGAGCACTTCAAAGCCGGTTGTACAGGAAGGGACCAAATAGGCTAAATAAACACCACTAGGCTGGAGCTCTGTGACATGTAGCCTGGTTTTAATGTTTCGGGTGCACCTGTCAATATTTGCCAGTAAGGATGTTTAAAGGAAAGAACAGGAATTTGTGCTCTTTGCTTTAGAATAGGATGGCATGCAGCTTTGGAAAACTCTGCTGTTCTAAGGATCAGTAACTCCTGTCTGTTAATCAGTGGCTTCCATGCTTTCATTTGACAGTCCAATTATTCTTTCTGGTAGAAGAATAGATCTCTTCATGGACTTGTTGCTGAAAAGGAAAAATGAATTTGCATTTTTAGCTGTGTTTCCTTAGCTTTTGGCAGGCTGAGGAAAGGCGTTTTTTGAGGYGTTACTCAGGACAAGGGGAGATAGCACGTGTTTCATGAGATCAGAATGGATTTGAGGAGGGCTTACTGATTGCTTTGCAATCAGAGAGCATATGCACATTTTCTCACTGAGATATTTTTGTATTTGGATTTTAATTTTTTTAAGTAGTTGTAAGTCTGTAACTCATTAACTAACCAAAGAGGCATAGCTAGCACAGAACTTCAGGAAGTAGTGGATAGTGTGCTGTGAGTTTGCCCTAAAAGCAAACTCTGTATGAGTCTAAAAGTAAAGTAAACTTGTCTTTCTGAAGTACTTTTCTTACTTTTAGACAGTGGTTTTGTTAGTTTAGTTGTATATTTAGGAGGCTAACCTGTCCTTAGCAGATTTTTATTTAAGTATTTATGAAGTTATAGAAGTTATAGCTAGGTATTTATTTGCAATAACTTGAATTATGTGATTTCTTTTCAAGACTTATATAATGGACATACTAGTATTTATTGAATGCTTGGATATTCGGTAGTTTTATTTGAGAATCTCTGAGATACGTGATAAATGGTCAAATAACAATAAACTTAGGACTATCTTCAAGGCAAAAWAAATCAGTTCAGTGGTGAAAAACTTGATTTTAGTAAACTAAGATAACTTTTTCAAGATTGTATTTCTAAACAATCCACAAGTGCCCAGTAATGTTTTTTCTCAAAAAAATCCAAAAATTGTATTGTTTTATTCAACTTCATTGTTTTAGCCAAACTTTAAGAAAAACTCCCTTTTTATTTGTTTCAGTAAAGGGTGTATTAATGTTCAGCTCCTACAGTATAACACCTTTGGATTTTTACCRCAACTTTTTAGTAACTGTTTATTTGTTTTTCCTCCAAAAGAAAAAACAGTCTCATTTTGCTTGTGTTTCATGCGCATACAAGCCTCTCACAGACTTTTAGTAGTGTTTTGTGTTTCTGACTTATTTTTGTGCCTGTAATTCAAAATACTGTAATAGATTTTGTTGATTTTTTTTTAATTGATAAATGAAACATTGCATTTCTTCTGGATTTTGTTGTCAGTAATTTTCATACTTTAATATTTCTGATCAGCCCTGCATGTTCTGTTGTATTAAAGCAATTGTCATTTTCMAATTTTGAATTTGTTGCTCATTTTCCTCCTGGTAACAATGTTTCTTGCTGGATATTATGTTGATATTATGTCCTTTCATATGTGAAATCTACGTTTTGTAAGAATGAGTTATTAAAAAACAGTAAGAGGATTTTAATGTATTAGAAAGGTACTGATTATCTATAATATATTATACAATATGTGTGTAGTGTGTCGTTACATAAGGTGGTGTATTACTATGAGAAAGTTGAAGTAGTGTTTCCTTGCTTTTGTTTTAATTGTTCTTTTCATTTTTAATGCTGATTATTTKCCAGAGGAAGAGACTAGAGAATCCTGCTCTTTCCAGGTAAGCTCATCATATGTTTTTAGGTATTTAGAATTAAGACATTTTATTGAAGAAAAATGCAGGGCAAAATGCAACAAAATACATGGAATTGATTGGATTATATCATCTGCCTCAGTTACTGTCCAAAATTCTGTTCAGCTGAATTCTTAATTTTTCTAAATATTTCTCAACTGAATTTATCACTCTTTCTAGAAGAGAAAAAACCTGTCCTGACTTGCCATTCAGTGCTTGTTCTTGAATGTCTGCTGCACATTGCATCCAAGAGTAGACATGACACATTAACTCATCCTTCAACCTTCCATATTGTTCTGACTGAATTTAGCCATGTTCATTTCATGAATGATTTATAGCTCAGTAAAAATTGCTCATATGCTAAGCATATRTTTGTATTTGCTGCCATGAGTATAATTTTTTTCGGTTTTTTTTTTTTAACTTTGTCTTTATTGTCAATATATAAGCCCAAATATAAATCATATATTCAAATACCGTAGCAAACTTTTTGAGGTAGTCTTATGTTTTTATATGTTGATGTTGATATTTGGTTTTGATTACACTGAATACAGTTCTAATATATGGTCTTTCCAGACAATTTGGAAAACAGGTGKTTTTTTTGGTATAACACTACTGAACACTGGAATGCATCTTACATGACCTAACACAGTCCTTTTTTTAATCCTTACTGAGGTAAAATACTTTGATTTTTTCTTCTGTATGTGTAGATACTGCCTCTGTAGTAAKAAACTAGTCCAAATTAAGCACTGTATTAAGAATATTATTAAAAAACTGTTTGAGAGCTTTGTTAAAAGGAGAGGCTTGCCTTATGCATATTTTAGCAGACATAAAATGTTTAAYATAATTTCMGAATATAATTTTAGCATAATTTTCTCCAAATTCTAGAAGGCTGTTGTAAGATGTTTGTTAATGGTATCTTTTAACATCCATCTCACTGAACTTTTCAGCAGTTTCATTTTGACTGAGACATGCTTATTTTTTGACCACTGTCATGACTTCTTGTGAATCACATTCAAGGGCAGTGTTCTTGTGACACTCTGTGTTCTTCCGGTGTGAAAACCCAGATCTCTCCTGACCCGAGGGTGGTGAGGTGCACCTGGGTATCAATATCGTTACCATGTGGGGTGTGATTGTGAAACACTGTAATCCTGGAAGGAGCTGTGTATAGCTATAATGTRCAGTATRTCAAAGAGCTGAGCACAKYYCACAAACACTTTGCTCTRGATGATGGCGTGTTTCTCTGCCCTTTCTGAAGATACATGTAATCAAACTGGGTCATTTCGCCAGCAGTTTTCAGGGCACTTCATTTTTATCTATGCCTTTTGTCAATTTTGCCGTACTCTTAATGTTCACATGCAACGTAATTTAAACTGAAAAATTTTATGCCATTTGGTAACTAATTAATTATTCATCATCTAAACAAARGAGTGTAGCTGGTTCAGAATACTTGGTTGCAGTGGACAGTGTTCTTCCAGTGTGGTATAAAAGCACTGCCAGAGGAGTCTTATCTGAAACCAGTGAAACCATCATCTGCCTGTGCCTTGGAATCCCCCTAGGGAGATAAGTACTCTCCTTTTTCATCCCACTTCCGAAATGATGGTGATGTCTGCTACAGATGGCAGGTAGCAGTATGCATTTACTTAGTATAGAGGGTTGAACACTGCATGTGTTTAGATGTAACAGACAATTCTTTTTTCTCTTCTTCAGGAGTTTATATTAAATAATGTTAAATATTAAGGTTAGTGTTACATTAATATATAAGTTAAATAATGTTAGATCCGATTCTGTCAGGACAGGACTTGTGTAGGTAAGTGCGAGTTTGATTTTGAAAACGTGTAGCTGGCTGAAATTCATGACAGCAAAAGTAAGTTTATTCTACATTCTCATTATTTGAATYATCTGCTCTGTCTACATGAGCAAACTTGATACTTAAATGCATTTATTTTGAGGTAATGACACTGATAACAGGTGTTGGTCTAATATGAAGGTGTGGACAGAAAACCAACTGTCTTGTCAGCCCAGTTACCAAATTACTTTGCTGATACTGTGTAGTTGTGTTGTTTTTTACATGAGTCCCTTACATGTCACATACACATCTGTGTGTCTTTCCCACCAAAATCTAATAACACTCTGAGGAACAGACTTGAAACTGTACCAACGTTTTAGGACTCCTCTCCTTTTCAAGTAGAAGTGGGACAGAATTGTCATGTACTTCATGGGACGCTGTAAGACTTGTAGCAAATGACTGTTAACAGCACTTTCCAGACCCGCTAGATCCACACTTCGTTTCATGAGCTGAAGTCTGCTTGTCTTTGTCTCTCAGTGGCTAGATCTGAGTAGGGCTGTGCCTCGGCAAGTTCTAAATTCCTTTAAAGGTGCATTATGATGAGATAAGAGGTGCTTGATSTTAAGGCTAAGGGTTTAACTTAAGCTCACACGATCTTAAGTGGTGAGTGATTGACACCCTTTTGGTTCYACGGTGGGAACTGCAGTGCCGGTCTGTACCTCAGGATGAGGTTCCACCCTTGGTAGGGACAGAAAGCTGTTCATGTRTAGCTGAGGTTTTGGGGGAAACGGATGTCGCAGGAGCTGGGGATGGGCAGCGAGAAGGCAGAAAGAGGGAAGACTAAGAACCTAGAGCAAAGACTGAGACGTAGATACAGCCATGGAGACTTGTATCTGATATCGTGAATGTAATGGTACAGGATGGACAGTTGCTACTCTTTAGTGATGCCAGACATCAGCARTGGAGGAATTTATAAGCCACAGAAAGCCGAATAATGCCAGTACATTTTCTAAAATATTTTCTCYACAAATTGGCATGCTGCCAAGGGGAAGCTGATCCCTGTTATCCTATTATCTGCGGGCGATCTTATAAACCAGAACCTGGGATGACCTGCCCGCTTCAGAGTGTTGGAGCTTTCAAAAACTAAAACTTGATAGTAAGTAAGAATGTCTGTTTCTTTAGGGTGGATTCTGTGTTTGTGTACTCTGGCGCCAGGAATGTCAGGTATATCCCRTACGAACTGCCTTCCTTTGCCCCTTTTTGGCGGGCGCCTCAGCAGCACCAGGAGGGAGGAAGCGGGGCCGGCTGTTTCGGTGCGGGGGAGGGACGGGGGATGCTGATGAGCAGGGGGCGGGGCCGCGGTCGCGTTTTTCAGCCCGTGGTGCCGGCAGGCTGGCGGTGCCGGGCGCGGAGGCCGTTCGGGGCCAGGCTGTGGCAGCGGCGCTCCCTGTCTGCTTTCCAGTGCCAGCCCCGCACTTCCTGGGGGGGCGGGGCCTCCCGCGCACGTGAGCGGCGCGCGGCCAATGGCGCGATCGCGTGATGCGCAGCGCCGGCTGCGCGCGCGGTGGGGCTGCGCAAGATGGCGGCGGGCGCGTGAGGGGTGGCGGCGGCCGCGCCGGAGGGACGGAGGGAGCCGAGGCCCGAAGGAGCCGGGAGGGGCCGCTGGTGCCGCCCCCCGGGGTGCGATGGTAAAATGACTCAGGCGGGGAAGAAGAAGAAGCGCGCCGTGAACCGCAGCATCATGCTGGCCAAGAAGATYATCATTAAGGACGGCGGGACGGTGAGGCCGGGGGCGCGGGGCGGCCCGGGGGTCGGCTGGCGGTGCCGGAGGGCCGCAGGCTCCGCCGCGGTGCGGGGACAGGCCCCGGGCGGGCAGGGCCCGGTCCGGCGGGGGTCGGTGGGCCCGCGGCCCTCGGGCGGCCGCGCCTGTGTCGGTCGCGGTGCCCTCACGGCCGCCGCAGCCCCGATGGTAGCGATCGGCAGCTSAGGCCGGTGTCCGCGGGCCGGCTGCCCGTGGAACACCTGTGAATGTGTCAGGCTGCTTGGCTCCGCCCGTAAATGCTGTTTGTTCCTCGGCGTGGGCCGGGTTTTGGGGCGCAGGAGCGAGTGCGGCCTCAGACGCTGGGCCTGGGGCACGGCGAGTCGTTAGGGCCGCCCGAGGCGAGCGGAGCGTGTCCGAGCCCGCCCTCGCAGAGCGCGGTTCCCGTGAGCGGCGGCTGCGGGGGCAGCGCGGGGCCGGCACCGTGCGGGCAGAGCGCGGAGCGCGGCTCGGGTGCGGGGCTGCCGGCGGGGGCGGGGACTGCTGTCCCACCCGTTCCCGGTCAGACAGAACGGGCCCGCCAGGGGGACAGACGCCAGCGCCTGACAAGTGCCGCAGAGGGCCCCTGGAAAAAAGGTTTTGCAGTTCCTCCCACAATTTTGCTTCCTCTTAAATACATATATTTTAAAAAGAAAGRAAGTTGTTACGTGTTTTGGCTGCTGGAGCTTGGATTTGCTTTGGGTACCTTTTTGGTTGGTTTTTTTTTTGTATTGATGAGTGCCATTACTTCCAGTGTGTCATTGCCCCTGGATTTTTTCCACTGTGCARCACTGTGGCTTCGATGTGCCCCGTTCTAAATACGGTGCCATTATTTCAAATAAGGAGACATCTTGACAGACTAAATTGCTGCTAGTCGTTCAGTTTGTCTTTTTGGAACAATAATGGAGAAGAGGCAGGTGTCAGAGTTACTATACTTGTTCATTGAAATGGCCAGTTCTCTAGATTAACTTAACTGTTATGAAGCAAAAYGAATTCCCGTGATGATTGTTGTTTTTTCCCAGGATGTGTTCATTCTCTTTGTAAAGACAGAAATTTGTGAGATTATCTTGTACAAATGTTAAATGCAAGTATTTTGGAATGAGTTGTACAAGCAGCGTAAATATTGTTACTCAAGGGACGTGGTGCTTCATAATTTCTCTCTGGAGTGTCATTGATTAAGATACAATGTGTTTCCAGATGTCCTTAACCTCTCAACTTCAACTTTCTTGCCASGAGAGGAGAAAGTATGTTACAATTAATTGCATTGGGTGATACTTGTAGTACAGCATTCAATGCCTCCCTCTAGTTTGAAAAGCTGAGTGCAAATTCCCGTGAGTACTGTATTAATTTAGTTTTTCGAAAACACTGGAAAAATRGACCATAAACATTAGATGAAGGTGTGTAGATTGTTGTTAGGCAACATGAGGTTCAGCCTGTAATACTTTCTGCCTTCAAATAAGTGTTTGGAAATTTCTTTGTTTTAAATATTTTTTTTAAGTTATGGAGTCTGATATAGCACTGTTCTTTATAGTGACAGCAGAAACTTTATGTGTGGAATTTTATTTTAATATTTGCTGAAATGTTGTTAGCCTTCAGTGCTCAGTGTCATCAGCTGCTTTGTTCATTACCCAGCATGGTGTGTGACATTGTGGGAAAYAGGTACCTGAAAACGGCCCCGTGTCTTGAACATCTCCCACTGGCAAACCAGTAATTAATCAATCATCTCTGTATACACTTTCCAGCCTCATTGGTGGAACTGTTTGACATCAGAGAAAATTGTGTGAATCAGAAAGAATGTACATATGGTTAATGAGGCAGTGGCACAAGCAGAAAGAGTTTCTGATGGCGAACCAAAAAAAAACGCAAACAAGCAAAAAGGAAAACCCTCCCATTGTTTCTGCAAAGCCTCTCCTCCCACTACAGTTTCTGCTGGGTCCCCTTGAAAAGGCAGTGGGTGGTGCACGAGGTTGGGTTGCTGCATGGTGGTATTTTTGTGCTTTTCTATTTGCAGCTTTAGTAGCTCTATCACAGAAAAATATATGTGATGGTGTGTGTACTGTAGTGAAGTGGTTWCATAGAATCATAAATGGTTTGGGTTGGAAGGGACCTTAAGGATCATGTATTTCCAGCCCCCTGCCATGAGAAGGGACATCTTCCAYAGACCAGGTTGCTCAAAATTCCATCCAGTCAGGCACTAACCACTTCCAGGGATGGGACAGCCACAACTTCTCTTTTTTGACACTTTTT